GGAATTCTACTCATCCATGAGAAAAATAATATTGTACTATTAATAAGGAAATGGAAATACTTGTAAAGGATAATAATAAGTGAAGTATTTTTTTTGATGGTCTAAGATTCAACCCCAGACAAACCTGGATTACTTTTAGAAGTAGCTTAGATGTGTTTGATGTTAGCAACTTGTATTATCTCTATTCTTACTTTATCGTGAAAAACGTAAAATTATCACATCTTATTTCTGAAGATTCTAAAACCCTTTTGGTCCATTCCCCTTATGTGATTTAACAAAGATTTCATAACTATGATAGTACCTAGCATGCTTGTGAATCTTTGACCAGGCCTTAAATTAGTCCTTTAAAATATGTTTTTGTCAAGTGTAATTGAATTTCTATCTACTATTGCTAGTTATTCTATGTTTTCCCCAGTAACTTCTTACTAGGAAAGGAAAGCTATTCAAAAAATCATAGATGATTTCATAGAGAAGGTATATTCTAGGAAAATAGCCTTCAATTATTTATTTAGAAAATGGTGCCTTCTCTTTTCAAAAAGTAACTGCAGTTTCTTAGCAGTGTTTGCAAATCTACTGCTGGAGGTGTTGGGGGAATTTGTGCTATAAGGGTTCATTCACAAACTTTGCTTGTCTGTGTTGGAAAGGGGCTTTGGCCATTTTCCCTAGGGACATTATTTCTAGGTAGACTTTAAGCAGGGTTTTCTTATGAAAGCAGATTCTTAAAGAAAAATAAGATCTGTGTACATTAGACAGTAGAGACACATTGATCTTTGAAATAGTGCACTCCTGTTTGTGGATATCTCTCCTGTGATTGATGAAGTAACAAATGTGCATTCCTTTTCAACCCAGTAACTTCTCTGGACAAAGCTTTTTATTCAGGAGTGGTTTTACCTTTGTATCTAGACTAAACATCTAACTTGATAAGTAGACAGGGAGACTCCAAGAGTCTTAGACTATAAAACTCTGAGACATGATAAATACCTCCTTTCCTCTCTTAGTGACTTATTCTCACAGACTGAAGCATGTCCTATTTTTTTTTTTTGCTGTTTTACTCAGTAGTATACAAAATTTTATTTCCTGGTAAACACTAGTTGCTAGTAAATACTGAATCTAAACTGTTGGAGGCTACCACATAATTTATCATAAAGTCATAAAAGTTTAGGCTGAGCGACTGAGATCCTGAATTCATGCATCACTCTTATTTCACATCAAGAGAGGGGAAGTGACTTACCAAGACATTAACTAGGACTAAGAATGAAAGTTGAAGTCATCTATTACAGTGTGGCTACTTCTAGTTCACCAGAAACAGCTCTTAGTTTGGAGCCAGACATTGAAAGTCCAGCTATGCTGATATCTCCAACTGTCTCCTCAACCATTAGCCTTAAAAATATAGCTGTGTGCCAGTCCTTGAGGTAGCTAGTCACAAGGTACAGCACTAATCTACTAATCTTACTAATTGGACTTTATCTTACTAGAATAAGTCTGCTCCCTGAAATCCATATCTGCTTTCCTTGGTTTGTACAGAGCTCAGCATAAGTGGACCCTTCTTAAGTGTTTTTTGATGAGGGCAATGATTGCCTTAGTCAGTGTGGTTGGGCCCTCCCTTATGGAGGAGGAAAACCAATGGTGGTTGCTAAGCAACATTTAAAGGACTGAGCTGGTTTCTGACACTGAATGACTTCCGTTTGCGTACTTCATCATGTGTGTTTTATGGTTGCCTTAAAATGACTTTGTTTTTTTGAATAATATTGTCATGCTTTTAGCAAAAGGCTTATAGGAGAGTTGATTTAAGCTTGAGAAAGAGGGAGATGGCATTCATCTCTTAGCTACTTCCATGAGCACACCGACCCTTTCTGTAAGGATACAAAAGATGAAGAGTGTGGTTTATTCTGAATCCTGTAGTTGAAAGTCATCACTCTCAGTTGGGACTGATGGATGATGCATCCTGACAAAGTTCTGAGGCAAGGAGCAGCTATAGTAAAACATACACAGAAAAATATTTTGTTCATTCTAGCCTTTATTGAGTCAGCTGAGGGGCAAATATGGCTAATAAAGAACCATTCCCATGATCTTCAGGCTGTTGACTATGGTGGTTGACCAATGTGCCCTAATAGATTAGAATGTTTGCACTAAAGTAAACACTAATTCAAAGCCTAAAAAAAATTTCTGTTCATATTTTTTCATTGCATGGATACATTCATTGGCCATTTTAGGTAATCAATATATGTTAGTTGAAAGTGATAAAACAGAATTATAGAACTAATTTAAGCCTGATTAATTCCAAAAATTTTTCTAAGCAGTTTGGAAATATCCAAGGAACCAACAAGGGGATAATTCCTTGAATGTTATATTTGGCTAAGTCTAGTGTGCAAAAAAAGAAAAAACATGGAAGAAATTTATCTCCAAGCTTCACCCAAGTGAAGTTGGCTTCTTTGCTAATATTCAACAGTTTATAAAACTATCCTTCCTAGCTTCATAGTCTTCTTGAGTATTGAGAAGGCCATTGTGACAGAGCAATTTTATCTATAAAAATAACTAACTTGGAATTTATGCAATTCATGTGGAGTTCAAAACTGCAAGGGATTCAATAAGTAAAATACACTGGCTGAGAAAATCAATTCAGTGATGCCTGGTTACTGTTACCAGCAAATGTTGTCATGGGAAAACACACACACACACACACACACACACATACACACACACGTTATACAGAAAGAGAGCAATTGTGCCTCTCTGAGAATAATGTATAGTGCAGTGAGCCAGCACTGATTTGCATTGGCTTCACCTCAAAAGGCCAGGTCTTCTGGGCACAGGCAATGTCGTGACCCAGGGCTCGGATGCCTGAAGTGAAGCTATTGTGAGATGTAGGATGCTCATTTGGAAGGAAACTACCTCCCAGTCAAGAGAACCAATTACAAGTTCAAGTTGTTGCCATGGTGCTTTGCTGTCCATTCAGCATGCTGTACATCAACTCCTGGAAGGGTAGGGATGTGGTTACAGGGGAGGAAGGAAAAGAGTGGGAGAGCCCTGAGTATGAATCTTATTACAGCAGGAAACTAATCCCAGCCTTTCCTTCTGTGTAATGTTGACAAGGAGGGTGGCAGGGGAACCTACCAAAAAGGAATGACATTTCAACATGCCCTAGGTTAGTAAGACAAAAAACTAAAATCAAAATTTAAATCCTATTTTGAATATAAATTAGAATATATAACATTAAAATGTAAAGTAAGCGTGGTTACTCCTAACTCCAGAAAGTTCATCATTTATTCAGCACGAGATATTGTTATATTTCCTAAGATAGTCTGAATCCCACAGGAAAGGTTAAATGAGTTTAATCTATTGCTCAAATTCAGTCTAGTATGCATATTAATGAGCTGGAGTTCAGAAAATGGCACATTACATATGAAGCACTCTTCAAATGAAATCAATCAATTCCATCCCCTTTAATTTCATTGTGAAAGTAAGCTAAATGTAATCAGCATCGCTGGTGAGCAAATAATCCTCCACAAAGCTAGTTACAAAAAACGAAAAGAAAAAATCTTACATACTGGAAGCTTAGTCTGAAAACAGCTATAGAGTTCTAACCTTTTTCAATTTTTAAACAATGCTCAGAAAGTAAATGAATCACAGACACCCTCTCTTTGCAGTAATAATGAGTGTCTGAGCTCTGCAAAGGCAGCGTCTGCAGAGCTGGTCTGTCATGCAGGGAGAGGGTTAAGGAATACCTAAGTGAAAGGGAGGAGGGTGCAGCTTTACTTAAATATTCATGGGGCTTCCTCCATTTTAATCTTCTCCCTTTTAAAAGATGGCTGTGTTTCCCCTGTCTGGCAACTCCCAGGGAAAGGAGAATTGCTGCTTCATTACAAAGTTCAGCTAAGGAGGACTCATCTAGGGTGGAAATCCCTTCAGCCACCAGGACTCTTCATGATTGATGAGTGCTGCAAGCCAGCCAGATGAATGCATTTGGACAGGCTCTTGCTCCTTCGTGCAATTCCTGATTTCATTACTCATTTCTGCCAGCAATAATCAGGGAGCATAGGCTTCTTGCGAGAATGGAGTGTGAAGACGGGCTTTGTTTGAAATAGGAAATGCTTTAAATTTTGGAAGCTTGTCTTTTGTAAATTTGGATTCTTCTGCCACTGAAAACAGCAGGGCTTTCCTGCCCCTCCTTTTGGGGATTGCTCTCTCAGAACTGAATTCTTTCAAAGGGATTTGTGGATTGTGACCAGAACAGCATCCAAAATGCCTGAGGCAAACTATTTGTTATCTGTATCTTGGGGTTACATCAAGGTGGGTTAATTTGATTGCTATGTGTCTTTGATAAGAAAGTGAAGCCTTTACATCTGTATGTGATCTGTGAAGTAAAAGCCATTTGTGATGATTCCCTTTGTGAATTCATTTAACCCATTGGGGCTTGCTTTTGTGAAATGAGGCATGCAATGATATAATGCATTCAAAAATTTAAAATTTAATTTTATTGTTATTATTAAGGAGTTATACAGACATTGCATTTAAATTTGTGTGACATATTTAAATGCTGTTCTTACTCAAATTTATTTTTAAAGGATGCTTTTATTTTCTGTCATTTTCCCTTTAACTTTTCAGTTAATCTCCATCACTGAATAAGGTTATCAGCTTAAATTATCTTTTGGATTTCTTTTATAATTTTCCATTTTAAAAGTAGTTATGTTTTTCAAGGGAAATTATTTTGACCTCTACAGAAATTGAAATTCCTTTTCCTGGGTTTATTAAAAAAAAATCAGATGTTAATTGTAAGAAATCTGAAGAACATCTCCATCTTCCCTCCCTCACCCCCATACCCCAAGTGACTTTGGAATAATTTCAAATTAAAAGGCTATTATATTTTACAGGATCAATATCATCTATGTAGAATTTGCTCATACAGTCTTTTGGTTCCTAGAAAGTAAAGTTGGAAATATTTAAAGTGATCATTTCCTCTGTTTTAGATGGTTAATACATTTTTTTCCTTTCATAAACAGTTCAAAAGAATGCTGAACCGGGAGCTGACACACCTCTCAGAGATGAGCCGATCAGGGAACCAAGTGTCTGAATACATTTCAAATACTTTCTTAGGTAAGGTATTAACTGGAGGGAGTGGGGGAATCTTATCTCATAACTGAATTTGGTCAAAATCAATTTTGGCAACCCATTAAGGCCATGCCATTTAAGATTTGGAATGAGGTTAAACATAGCATACCAAATCCATTGAAAATAACAATAAAAGTCAGTCTATAAGGAAAAAAAATAGTTGATTTATAAGATGATGTTAAAAAAAGAATGCAAAGTGCCATTCAAGACAGAAGGTTATTAGCAGATGATTACATTTATCTGACTACAGGTTCCCCAATTATCGACCTGCTCATTTCCATCTTTTCCAAGACCTGTGAAGTATCAGGGAGGTACATTCACCGAAACCCTAGCAATCACTCCATTAACTCCTCTGACACACTATTCTGTCAATTCCTTCAATAAGTGAGCTTTGAAAAATATATTCTGAGGTGTTTTCCAAAGGATATGCTTGGGTAATAATTTTATACTGGCTCTCTGAGAATAAACGTGGGCAATAATGTAGGTTATTTCTTAAAGATACCTGAGTGGGGGAGGGTATTTTCATATCTCTGACTTAGTCTTCTTTAAGCATAGTCATTGTCTTCCCCATCTGATTAGTTAGCTATTATTCTCCAATGCTACATTACTAGCACTTAACACATGATATTGACAAATAAGGTTGCACTAATGATCCTCAAATACTGCCATGCGTCTTGTTTGATTAGTAGGGACTTCTGAGCTCAGGTAAAGGCAATTCTATTGCACAAAAAATATTTTGACAATTTTAATGTAATAATACAGAATCTGCACACATATGCACTTCAAAGTGCACAGGTTCCATTTAGATTCTGATGCTGCTGACTTGCAGCAACTGCTGAATTATGCTTATTTGCGCAACCCCATTTTCGAGGGAAAAGACCCATTCTAACAGCTGAGCATCATTAATCAACGAACATTTGCCTTAATGCAGAAGGAAGCACATACCTCTTCTCATTTTATTTTAAAAATCAATCCCACTTTTCGAACTCCAAAGTAGTCCTCACTACCAGCAGATCAATCAGCTTTCTCTTTCAGCAGTTCAGTACAAAACCAGTGCATTACTGTACACTCTGTGATCACCAGGCACATTCACAGGTGCTTTGGAACTGTTTGGCTATGCAGGTGTCTGCAGCACCCAGGATCTCCAGCTGCAGCTGCATCAACCTTTGTCTGAGAACAAAGAAGAATTTTTATGCATCGCCTCTCACAGAGGTGGCTAGAATCTAATGGAACAGAAAACCTTACTGTTACTCTGCTGATCCCCTTTATCCCTTTTGAACCTGGAAATCTTCCACTGACCATTTCAAATGGATCCTGTTTTGTGTGACACTCAGTTTATTTCCAGAGGCTGGAGATCATTTTAGAAATATTTTCTAGATTATTGACAACAGCTGAGAAGAGTAAAATCAAAAGTGCATGAACTCATTTTGATTTTCATACACATTACTTCTTAAAAACTCCAAGGCTTTTCTGCTTTGCAGAAGAGATTCTCCCTATTAGAGGTAAAGCTCCATGGAGTGTTTGAGTCCTTCATCATTCAGCCCTGGACTGAAGTAGTCCTTCTCATTGGTAGTCTCTTCTAATAGCTGCTTTCCAATGACAATGAGAATAGCTTGCCATACTAATTGATCATTTTATCAGCATTAGAAGCTGATAAAAACGTCTCTTCATCTTCAATATTCCATTTTCAATTTAGGGACATCTAAGGAGAGTTATTTGTCTGGATTCTCATTATTCACAAAGTTATCAAGAACAGATTGTGGAGAACAGTTCTATGAATCTTTTTTTATTTTTTAAATTATTATAAAAGTAATGTACAGAGGGATTGCAGTTAGATGTCTGGTAAAGAGTCCATTTCCTTTTGGGCAATGTAACCCCTTCCCCTGCTCTCCCAATTTTTTCCCTCCCATCCCCACCCACAAGTTGTACAGTTCATTTTCAACATAGTGTCTAGTGAGTACCACTGCTGCATGATTATATAAATCTTAATCTTTACATACCCATTAAACTCTTGGGCATCTGCCTCTGCCTCTTCTGTGATCAAGGCCGTTTTCATTTTGACAATCAAAAACAAGGAAGGAAGGAAGGAAGGAAGGAAGGAAGGAAGGAAGGAAGGAAGGAAGAAGGAAGGAAGGAAGGAAGGAAGGAAGGAGAGGAAGCAAGGAGAGAAAAAAGCAAGAGATAGAAAGAAGGAAAGAAAGGAAGGAAAGAAAAAAGAAAGAAAATAAAAAGAAACCAAAAAAGCAAATGTAGTACATGAACTCTTAGTCCTACCTTGTGACCATGGTGAGTATTCCTGGTGGGTCATAAAGTCGACTTCATAAACTGTCAGATCTGCCATGAACCTTCAGAGGTCCAGAAGAATGAAGTAATGAAGAATGACCAAAGTCATTTGTCCGAATGTTTCTAAGCCAGAGTTATGACTTAACTCTTTTGTCTTGTACATTTGAGTACCCTATCCTTCTGACAGGAACTAAGAACATATAGGGAAAAATCTCACATTTAAGGACATTAATATATATATATATATATGTATATATTATATATATATATATTTATACATTTATATATAACAAATATATATATATACACACACACATATATATATATACATATATATGAAAAACATCTAACATGATGGCATATATAGTGGACATACAGAAAGACAGATAACAGGTTATTTACCAATCCAGGCAGTTATTGACAATGGGCTCTAGATACTACATTACAAATTAGTAAAGATTTTCACAGAAAAAAGGCCATCTCTTAAAATCCTATACCTAACATTTTAATAGCTAGAGCTCATTTTAAATAATCTAAAAATATGAAGGAAAGGATTGAGGGATTTTCATAATTAAACGATGTTGGAATCAAATAAGCAACATGCCTCAGGTTATGCATTAAGATAATTGAATGCAACCAGCTCTTGTAGCTATTTTCTTTTTACTTCACACTGGCCAACTATTTCCCTGATACGTTCTGAGCATTGTATAAATGCAAATCAGCTAAGTGTTTCCCATCATTCTTTGGATTTGTGTTTCAGTTATTTCCATACTGTGCTGGCTAAGCATTTAATAATGGAAACTCTAAATAGAGGAAATTCTAAGTATGGAAGCCTAACAGTTTTCCTGGGTCTGCAGGAGAACAGCGGGGCTTCTTGCAATGTTCCAGATGCAGCAAGGGTTCAGCTCAATTACTCCCTGTTGCAGGCCATCTTTAATTAAACAAAGAGGACAAGCTGCCAATCCCACCAGAGCTGGTTCTATCTGTTAGTGATACAAAGGAATCCAGCAGCCTCTTTACCCAAATGTGAAGATTGGTGGTTTAGAATGCCCTTTTATCTTGGAAAAAAGTAGTCATTGTTTAGTAGTGAAGTGACGGGAAGAAAAGTAATTTCAAAAATCATATACTGTACAGTTTCCATGCCAGAGACTATGTGGCAGGAAAGAGATTTTTAATGGGAACCTCAAGGCCTTCTTATTATTAAATCACCATGTCTGGAACAAAGTAATTGCAGAATAAATATCTGTTAAATAAATTGTTCTTTGAGCTTGGCAAAGTTGCTGAGAGTGTGGGATTGTTATCGATTCCTAGACCTGTCTGGGAATGCCTGATCATCCAAAGCACAGGGGAATTAAAAAAAACAACAACCAAAAACCAAAACAAAACAACAAACAAAACAAAAAAAACAAACAAAAAAACTAGTTCAGTGAGGCTGGGTGAAGCCTGTAAATTTTTTCTGAAAATTTCCTACGTGCTCCTGATTAAGTTGGAAATCCCTAAACTAATTGAGATGACTAAACTTTTTCCCTAACAAAAAGGCACTGTCTACAAGCTTGTAGAAACCTAGAGATTACACAGAAATGGCCAGGGAAGGGGAATACCTGTGCCTCAGCCCGCCAGGCAGGTGGCAATGTGCACAGAAAGCTAGTCCTGTTTCACCATTCTTGCTCAGCTTGGCTAGAGTGACTACCAGGGCAAAAGTCCCTGAGGAGAGCATGTGACTATGCCGACATCTAGAAGAGTATAAAAGCTAGGGTCCATCTCCCAGCATACCAACTGTGAGCATGTCATTTTCAAATGGAGAAGTTATTTTGTACTCATTTTCACTATAACAAGCAGAGATCAATGTCAGCATTTTTGAAAGCCACATTAACTCTTTCAACCATGGAGTCCCATTTTAGTTCAATAAAGCAATTGAAACAATCATTGCTGCTGCATATGCACAAGCATCCTTGTGGCCTGAAAGAGTTAATGCATCTGTCAGTACTCAGGATGTATCCCTATGAAATCAAATAGAGTATTTGTTTACAGGCATTTTCAATAAAGGAGGGAGCTTCTGTAAACAGGTAGACAGACATTTTCACTAATCCTAGTTCTGCTATTTCTGTGTGGCAAAAAGTTTACATATTAAATGCCATTATTATAAATATTTAGTAAGCATAAATGTGTTATTAAGTGTGATGCCTATTACAAATGAGATGCCCTATTATCTATTAGTAGAGTTAACATACACAACGCATAAATAAAAATGAAATTATAGTCTTCCTCTACACCTCAAATGTTAACTAATCAATGTTTTAAAATAGCAGTTCTCTTCCTCCTCCTCCTCTTCCTCTTCCACCTCTTTCCTCTCCTCCTCCTTTCTAAATTCCTTCCTCCCTCCCTCCTCCTCCTTTTCCTCCTCCTCCTTCTCTTCCTTCTCCTCCTCCTTCCTTTTTCTTGCCAATACTGGGGATTGAACTCAAGGCTTCAGGCTTTTACTTGTCCTTTTTAATTGTGGCTAGTGCCCTACAACCTGAGCCACACTTTTAGTCTAGCTTTTTTGCTAGATGATTGAAAACATAGTCTTGAGGACTTTTCTGCCTGGGCTGGCTTTGAACTTCAAGCTTCCTGAGTAGCAAAGTTTAAAAGAGTGAGCTATCACTCTTTTAATTCATAAATGAATAAAAGATTCGGATGAATCTTTTATTTTTTAGCATATATTGCTCATTTAAACTGAATCAGCTAAAATCATTTTTAAAGAATGAATGAAAATGTATCCGCAGAGCTTATTTTCATTAATCTTGCTTTAACTTATGAACGTTTTTGTTATATAAGCAATATAAGTTAGTCACCTTAATGCAAAATCCACATGTAAGTATTGATATTTTTCACCTCAAAAATGTGTGAGTATACTTCTCCTAAATTACACTAAGAACAGGAAACTGGGCTCGAGTACTATCTCAGTCACTTCCTGGACAATTTACTTAACTACTCTGAGCCTCAGTTTACTTGGCAATAGCATGGAGCAACAAGTCTTATTTTTTCTACCACTCCACAAGGTTATCCAAGATCCAATGAGGTTGCATTGTACAAGCCCTTTATACAATTTAAAGGCTATTACACAATGTCTGAGCTGTTTTGAATATTGCTGTGTATGTTCATTGGCACAAATGTGATTTGAAAAACCAAACATTCTTTTGTTGCAGACAAGCAGAATGATGTGGAAATCCCATCTCCCACCCAGAAAGACAGAGAGAAAAAGAAGAAGCAGCAGCTTATGACTCAGATAAGTGGAGTCAAGAAGCTGATGCATAGTTCAAGTTTAAACAACACAAGCATCTCGCGCTTTGGAGTCAACACAGAAAATGAAGATCACCTGGCCAAGGTTTGTATGAGCTGGGCCTGGAGGTGCACAGCTCTCTGCAGCATACGGAGCTTGTTTACCATTTAGACATTTGTATGGGTCACTTTTGCTTTGTCATTATTTGTCCAGTGCTGGGGCAATCTTTCTTCTATATCGAAGACTTTACTTTGGGTCCTGAGTCGGGTTCAGTGATGGATAACTCCTTATGCTGGAACATCCTGATGAAAGAACTCCAGGACATCCAAAGGAAATCCAGGAGGAGAAATTTGAATTATCCCTGGAGATGCTGTCAGAACTCTGTGCCAGAGGGCCAGAGGGAAAATCTACACTGATTGGCAGTGCTAGAGAAATAAACAGATCAGGAGAGTAATGACTCCTGAGTGAAGCAATGACTCCAGTAGTAGAGGCAAATGCAGACAGAATGCATCTGTCCTCAAGAGGCTGTACAGAATCACTGCTGAAGTTTTCATTGCTTTGTGAGACAATGAAATGAGCTTCCTCTGAGCAAACAACATTCAGTGAGGCCTTCTGAATTGATTAAACACCCAGCCAGGCCTCTGGGAAGTTACTCAGAATGGAATAAATTGTTCCTTCAATCAGATAATCTTAGACTGATCCCACAACACAGGCCTGAATGATGTTTCTTCCAGGTTTCTCTTGGTCATTCTTAAACTGGGGTTGATTTCTGCACGTTCTGGTAGCTCAGTCTCCCTGATCTGACGTCAATGATAATAACCAAAGGACAGGGGCGTTTCCTTGACATTGTTTTCTACCTGTCACCGATAGGCCAGTAAGTAGCAGGGGGAGTGATGGGGAAATGGGACCAGCATAATCTCTATTCACTCAGACAACATTGTTTGAGGAAGGATGCAAAGCAAATATAGGTTAGCAACTATATTTATAAATAGATATACATTTATAATTATTGCATAAAAAGATCCCAAACCACTTGAGTTATTCCACCTGAGTTATTTTCAGATATTAGAACACTCTAATTATAGTACTCTATATAGACTTAGGTAGCCAATTAATACAAAAAAGACTTACAAAAATTTTGTAAACTTACAAAAAATATTTATCCTTATTCCTAAATTCCTCTTTATTTTTTACAGGAGTTGGAAGACCTGAACAAATGGGGCCTTAACATCTTCAATGTGGCTGGATATTCACATAATCGGCCCCTGACATGCATCATGTATGCCATATTCCAAGTGAGTAGCATGAGATCATGTTGATTATCCAAATGGATAACTCCTTGTAAGGGTTTTGTTTTTCCCATTCTAGTTTAGGTTGCCACTTAATCTTGCTACATTTTTGTAATCCACATATTCATGTTCTAATCCATTTTATTACATAGGAAAGAGACCTCCTAAAGACTTTCAAAATCTCATCTGACACATTTGTGACCTACATGATGACTTTGGAAGACCATTACCATTCTGACGTGGCCTATCATAACAGCCTGCATGCTGCTGATGTAGCCCAGTCTACCCACGTCCTTCTTTCTACACCAGCATTAGATGTGAGTAATTGTCATCTGGTTTGGATTCCTGCCCATTCCTTTAAAAGCACCATGCAATGTGCAATGTATTTACAAAAATGATGTAACTGGCTTAACTGACCCCAAATTTATACACTGGTTCTTTATGAAATATAGAAGCATAAATTGAGTAATAAAACTAGACATTCCTGCCTTCTTTACTCTCTAAGAATAGAGTAACTTTTCCATCTCTTCCAATTGAAAATTATTTAGTTATAAAATAATCAACAGAATCCATGCTTAGTTCCTGGTGAAGGATACAGTTATCTCAAAGTATGGATGGTAAAATAAGGAGAAACAGTGACCGAAGGGGTGACACGAGCAAGATGCATTATACTCATGAGTTGCCATGTTGAATTGAAAACCTTCTGCACCCCTTTTTAAAGATCATTAAAAAATAAATTTAATTTAAGAAAGGAGGAACAGAATCCCTTGTACTCAGACAAGATTTGAGAAGGTGATTGGGACTCCTTTCCTCACAGATTAATGCCTTGTATTAGTAATGGGATAATTATTGTAATTTGCCAAGATTGCTGAAAACTGTTAGTAAAAGAAGAGTACAGTGTGTCCTTAATTATCAGGATTGGTCCTTTGTGGAGAGATAGAAAATGAATTGGCATTTAAGGAAACAGAAGACTTAAATAATCACAGAGAAGAAAGACATTTTGGTCCTAGAATCAACAGCAATAGACACCTAATAAATACTAGGCTTAAGTCATTTTTGCTTGGGTAGAGACAGATTTGCCTAATGACATGACAGGAAGGAACTAAGAATAAAGTATTAGGAATATTTTTCAAATCTTGCCTATAAATAAACATTAAGTAGAGATGGATGGAATGAATGAATTTATAACTGGCAGCTTGTGACCACACTACAAATAAGCATTGTGAAATAATTCATTGCTGATGAATCTGAAGTTTAGCCTTTTCCTCTAACTTATGCAGCCTAAACATGAAGGGTATTTATTATAACTCACAGCAGAGCCATCTGCCTTGCTTCTTTGACTTGATTGTGCTTATGTTACGTAAGCACCATGCTGCTGTAGACCTAATCTGAAAGACAAATCAGGAGTTCACATACACCATGTATGAGCAGTATGCTAATGCCAAGCCTCAGCCTGCAGTCTTAAATAATGTGCAAATCAGGGGCTGGGAATGTGGCCTAGTGCTACAATGCTTGCCTAGCATTCATGAAGCCCTGGGTTCAATTCCTCAGTACCACATAAACAGAAAAAGCCACAAGTGGTAGAGTGCTAGCCCTGAGCAAATGAAGCTCAGGGACAGTGCTCAGGCTCTGATTTCAAGCCTCAGGACTGGGGGGATGGGGATGGGGGATGGGAAAGGGGGAGAATTTATTTTTAGCCGGGCACCAGTGGCTCAAACCTGTAATCCTAGCTACTCAGGAGGCTGAGATCTGAGTATCACAGTTCAAAGCCACCCAGGGCAGAAAGTCTCTGAGGAAATAGCACTGTGGCTCAAATGGTAGAGCACTTGCCTTGACCTGATGAGCTCAGCGACAGCTCCCAAGTCCACAGTTTAAGCCCCATGACCAATAACAACAACAACAACAAAAAGTGCAAATCAAGGCTGGGCATCATTCCTTTTATATCAGGAACTTTTTGGTAATAAACAGAATCTACATTTTTTAAATTTAATCCACACCCTATGAGAGTATACAAATCCCTCTCTCAAAGAGAATGAAATGGGATCCTTTGAAATTAACTGGCAAAATGAGCAAAGTAGATTTGGAGTTCAATGTGTCCAATTTGTTTCCCAGGCTGTCTTCACAGATTTGGAAATCCTGGCTGCCATTTTTGCAGCTGCTATCCATGACGTTGATCATCCTGGAGTCTCCAATCAGTTTCTCATCAACACAAGTGAGTTCACCACTAGAACAGTCATTTGAGATAATTGTATGATTCACTGCAGTTTTTCCCTCCTGATGTTTTCATTATGGGTAACAAAAAGGGCAGTAATGAGGTAATCCTTCCATTCCACTCAAACTGGGTTGAGTGTCCTTTCCTGGATACTGTGTCCAGTCTGGCAACACTATGTTTGAGCTGCATGGAGAACTTGGAGAGGGTCGGAGGAAGCCATAAAATGTACTCAAAGTTTGGAAAGTACAATATGGAAGGAAAGAATAACAGATGTGGAATTATCCAGTAAGAGAAGAAAAGGCCTGGGGATGTTGTGATCAGGGCTCTTACAGCACAACACCCCCATTAATGTCTTACTGTGCTAGGGAATAGGCACTAATGTTGGGTCTGAATATGGGAACTTTCAAGTAGAAATTAGATTTCCTCAAAAAGCACTGAAATAGATTTCCAAAATTCAAGAGGAAAGTCATTAAAGTCCCATATGCTCTGTTCCATGTTGTGCACGTGTGTGTGTGTGTGTGTGTGTGTGTGTGTGTGTGTGTGTATGTTTGATTATGGAATGGTCTACAGAAAAGAGGGTAACCTAGTAGCTTTCAGGGTTAGTCCAGCCTTAGGACCATAAGCTATACTCCAAGTTTTTGGCAGGCTCAAAATATTTGGTTTCCACACTAATGAAAATGTATTCAACCACTCAGTTAATACGTTTTCCCTAGTACTAAAGATCTAAGTACTTTTTCTTCTAACAATAATAGTCGTATTGTCAATGTTATAACTGGCATCAAATGCTAACAGTTTTACACAGATGCTGTTTGAGCTGCTTGTTATCCAAGAGTTTTTGTTGTCACTTCTTGTTTTTGTATTATTGTGTTTTTTTAAATCAAGCTATCCAAGTTATCTAAGTTTGGGGAAGACTTTTAAACCTCATTCATCTATTGATCAAACAAATTTTTCTGCATGAATTATATCAGCTTGTTTAGTGTAAAGTCATGAATTCATTCATTGATAAACCAGTAAGCATCACACTGGAAAAGTCTTTCCTGCCAGAACCATCTACATCATGGTCACATGCAGATCCTGCTCAAAAATGTGTGCTCATAATCACAGATAAACAGAACAAGGGTGTGCAAATGACCTCAGAGAATTCACTCTTTCTGAAAGTAATGGTATAGGAGTAGCATCCCCTGCAGTTAGCAACACATTGCTATCATATTGCTGTTACTCTATTTATGCATGTATTTAGGTATCTATTTATTTTTGAGACAGGCTACATTGTATTCTAGATTGATTTCAAACTTAAAATCCTCCTCTTGCATCAGTGCTAAGACTACAGGCATCTACCACCATGCCTGGCTTAACTCTGATAGGTGATTTCCTGAGTTTCATGACTGTATTCTCAGATACAGAGCTTTTCTAACAAAAGGTACCTGTGATATCCTTAGTATAAAAAGCATGCTAGAATCTATAGTTTGAATACACTGAACTTATTTCTAATATAGAGAGCCAGTAGACAGAAAATTGAATGCCAAAGTTTTTTTTATTAAAAAATGTTTAATTAGCATATTTATGAAAGAATTCCAAAACTACATTATGGGCATAAAACAAAATTTTACACCAACACACTATCTTTTGAAAATATGAAACACAGTTGCCAGAGGTTGGCAATTGTGAAGGTACTTCAGATAATCAGAATATACTTGGTAAAGTTTGTGGCATGTCTATTTTTATAAAAAAATGTTTATGATGACATAAAGGAAATTACAACTGAAACAAAAAGAAGAGGGAAAAATACTTAATTCTCCATCTGAGTAGAAAAAAATAAGATTTTAAGACAATGAATTTTAATGAATGAGAAAGTACCAACATCTCCTAAAACATTTTATTTTTTAGTTAGAAACTTCCTAGTTCTATTTGTATAGGCACAATGTTTCTGTATGAGGCAATGACTCTGGATGGAAACTCTTAAAATAATTTGAGCGAAACTCGATCTGATTTCACATGGAGGTAATGCAGTATCTCAATTACACAATTTTTATGGTATCTTATTGTCATGATGTTGTTAATCCATTAGATTCGGAACTTGCTTTGATGTATAATGATGAATCTGTGCTGGAAAACCATCACCTTGCTGTGGGTTTCAAGCTGCTGCAAGAAGAACATTGTGACATCTTTCAGAATCTCACCAAGAAGCAGCGTCAGACACTCAGGAAAATGGTGATTGACATGGTAAGGCTGTAGCCTCTCTACTTTCCTCATTAACTTTCGACCTTCTCTTTTGTGGACTGCATTTAATAAGAATCTTCCTTTTGTCTTTACCCAAGGTATTAGCAACTGATATGTCCAAACATATGAGCCTGCTGGCAGACCTGAAGACAATGGTAGAGACAAAGAAAGTCACAAGCTCAGGTGTTCTTCTCCTGGATAACTATACTGACCGCATACAGGTATTTGATCAAAGACAAACTCATCCAACACCATTTAGAAAAATGAAATATGAATTTGGTTAGCTGCATGTCCTAGAGGACTACTGGAGCATCTGGCTTATTTTAAGAAGAAGCTAAGGAAGATGGACATTTAAGTTTATCCTCTGATCAATTAGGAAAAGCATGACTACGCAATTACTTAGTTCTGAAAATAAGTTGCAATATCTATTTGTAATTGGGCACATGTGACTCCTCCTCCCCAAAGCTCATATCTGCATGTAAATCTTACCAACTGAAAGTTTGTTCTATCTGCTTTGGTTATACCAATTCCTGTCTTCTGGTCTCCTCTTTCCACAAATGAAAATCCTGACATCTACTTTGAGCAATTCTTTACATTTTTCCCAAATTGAGGGAAGGAAATGGTCTCCTCATCTGATCTGTAATGTTCCTTCTAGTTTTTAAATTAAAAAGCTATCACCCTAAGGAGAGATATATATTTTCCTTCAGGACCTTCTAATGGGAAATAACTACCCTTGGTTGGCACCATTGTCATTTTGCCTTTTTGGTGTATGCATCATCACTATACTGGAACAAAAGTGTTCTTGGATTTGGTACTAAGTGTACTGAGAGGGATAAGATGTTCTGACAGTATTTACTCTTAATTTTATGGGATTTCCAAAATTTAATGATTATTTCAGGTCCTTCGCAACATGGTACACTGTGCAGACCTGAGCAACCCCACCAAATCCTTGGAATTGTATCGGCAATGGACAGATCGCATCATGGAGGAATTTTTCCAACAGGGAGACAAAGAACGAGAGAGGGGAATGGAGATTAGCCCAATGTGTGACAAACACACAGCATCCGTGGAAAAATCCCAGGTATCTAAAATGAATGTTTTTGTAAAGACTCTGACCTGAGAAAATCCAGCTGACCCTTGAAGGCTGCTGTCTCTACTATTCCTTCTCTCTCTACTTTTCTTCTGTCTCTGTCTTCATCCAGAAGCTCAACTCTGCACCCTGGTTTTAAGTCTCTGCTATTATCTCTCCCTATTCTAGCACACTGCCACCATCATCAGAAATAATCAAAGTTTTCCCAAAGTTGCTTCTATGTCTATGTATTTGGAGATATTCAATCATCTTCTGGTTGTGCCAAAAGGTTCATGGTATTCTAATAGATAAAATACTCTGTGTGTGTATGTATGCACATGAAGAAATTTTTAACACTAATAACTGCAGAAGATGTAATATTAGAAAGCATTAAAAGGTCATTGTAATAAAAAAAGGCTTCAAGGCCCACTGAAATATCATTTTTTACAACAAATGGTCCGTGCCTCAGAATGAATTCATAGGATATTTGCAGTCTTTATCTCTCAAACACATTGACACACACACACACACACACACATACACTGATAGTGTTTTGGGTTAATTTCTTTCTCTTTCCTCATTACTGAAAAACACCAAATTTCACATATTTGTAATATCAATGTATTGTAGTTAGTATTTTGCTGCTTCTTAGAGAAAACCAACTAGATGACTTTAGTACCTGTAAGCGCAAAGTCTGAATGCTAAAAAAAATACATGGTAGTGTTAAACTAGTTAGGGCTGATTAATTTAGAGCTTTAACTGGGACAAGATATAAAGAATTCACTTTTTCTTAACAGTGACATTTTATGTGATGTTCTATGTGGTTTTTCCATGCATTTTCCTGTAGATTAACCTATGTAGACCCCTAAATAATTTTATGAAGTAGATAAAATAAATGTTTCCTATGTCAGGTGAAGAAGCTATTCTCATGCTTCATCTTGTTGGCTTCTTAAGGAGCCAACTGCCCTCTACCCGAGGAGAAGGAAAATAATGTAACCTAGGCAGAAAGTAACCCCAAAGAAAGTGAACCAAAAGACCATACAGACAGAAATCAAGTAGAAGAAAATATTTATTACCAGCAGAGCTGACAAAGCCAAGTTCTCATGAGGAAAGGGAGAAAATGGCAATGTTTGGATCCTTGGAGGCCCCTTTTATATTGTGGGGCCAGAAATGGGAGGCACCACTTGAGGATGGAACTTAGGTCTGCGAGGTGGGCATTTCCTTATATTTCCCCCCTTTAATATGTACAGTACTGTGCAGGGCGTATGGGGGAAGGTCTTGTCTTCTGGACCTACTTCCTGCTGAGAGAGGGCGCCGTGGTCAATGAAGGGGAGAGAGGCCATGCTAGGAACTACATGAAGTTGACCAAGGTCATGATGGTTATGGTGTTACTTGTCCAGAGCAGGGGCCTCTGGTTCCTCGATGATCGGGTCCAATCATTTTATCCATAGAGATAGGGGTCCAGTTAGCTCAGATATATATGAAGGTCCATCAGGCACATGACATTTAATGTGTCAGATGTGCATCCAATGTGGACCATACCCAAGGAGCAATGAAGCAGGGACCCCTGAGTACTTCACCCCTATACAGCAGGAAGTAACTCCAAAATAAATGACCCCCGTCCATCCCTCCCCCTATTTTTATTAAACAACAGAGTGGGGAATGTAAGCACTATGCCCACCTTTGGTCCTCAGCTCCACCCAGATCTGAGCTCCTCCCAGGCCTGGCGTTCCGCCATACAGCTGGCCCCTCCCTCTCTCTGCCCAGACCTACCTAGGCTCCCATCTATCTCACTTCCTACCCCCAGACCCTGCTGCTACCTAGATAGTGGAGGCTGCCATGTGCTCCCTCTTGGGTGAAATATGGCTCCTCTAATAAACCTTGTAATACTCTTTCTCCTGAGCCTGCCTGCCTCTGTGTGGTTCCCTGGGAAAGAGCTGATGGATCCTTTTACTAGGTCCTTCACTCTTCATCACTGAGGATAGGCCTTAGTGCTGCCATGACATCAACTCCCTCCTCTGATGGTCCCACTGATGGTCCAACTGGGCTCTGTCAGACCCTATGTCATTCATCTGCAACCAAGCTCTAAACTAGTAGTTCTAAGGATTCAAGAAAGGTGCTTATCCCATCTCTAAGAAATAAGCAGCTAATGGTTACTTCTCAAAAAACAAAATTCTTATTTCTTAGCAGAAACTTAGCAAATAATGAAGAGAAATGGCTCAGTATGTTCAGTTTATTCAATTTTCTCCATTGCCTGCTTATTTCTAACCCCTGGAAACCATCTTGAAAATAGCCCCTAAAATCCATCAAATGTCCTTAAAGAAGTAATAGAAAGGAAAAAGGAGTGGGCAGAAGCAAGAGAAATATCTGAATCATCCACAGTTAACTTTTCATAACCCACAAAATATATATGCCCAGACTTTGGCAAATCAAGTTAAGGCTAGAAAAGAACTATACAAAAATGTATGTGCACATGCACACACACACATATTTGTTTACATATACGTACACACATGTATGAAAGAGATACAAATGATCAAAATTCTTGCATATAGTTCAACTTGAATATATTAAATGGCTGGACAAATAACCCAAGTATCAATAGAGAAAAGTTTCCAGCAAGGGGACAGATGGCTATATAGTGTCCCATGGGGGTCATTGCTCATCTCCCCCTGAATCCCAAACCAGCATCTCTCCAGCTCCCCAGATCATGACAGGGGAATTCCATTCCCTCATTCAACTAGTGCCTATTCTGTCTCTACCTGCCCCCACCCTCAGTGTTTCCTGTTTGTCTGACAATGTAGAGGTCAGCCTAAGGCCAGGAGGCTAGCTCATGCAGGATGCATAGCCCCTGTGTAGACCATAACAAAGCCGTAAGCCTCAGATTTCTTCTCAGGAACACCAGCAAAAGGAACCGCTTAATTGTTTTTATTTTCCTCCTTTCTTAGGATGGAAATGAGTGTGTGTCCTATAGATCTAAAACAATAGCAGGCATGTCCACAGAGGGGATATTTGTTTAGGTCTTGAATGATTTTCAAGTGTTTTATGAAACTGCTCAACAAGCTAAATGCATTTCACAGAACTTGAGAGATTCCACACTAGTGGGCATATTTGAGACTCCTGTCATTTTGACACCACAGCATATTTTAAAGTGAGGAAGGGAGGAGGAGCTGTTAAGTCAGACCACTTTAGATTTGGGAATAAGGGAATATAAGTAGTGAATAAGTCATCTCAAACCAGTGTTGCTGCAAGACTTCATATCTGGTGTATAAAAGGAAAAGCAGTGTGGTAGTGACATAAACATGGGCTTTGGGATTAGATGGAGTTAGACCTAAGTACTAGCTATGCCATTCACTAGTTAGGTGACTTCTCCAAGATGTTTAACCTCAGTGAGTCTTAGTTTATTCCTTTGTAAATGACAGGCAACAGCTTTTCAGGATTAAGGGAGATCTACCATATAACCAGCATTTCAACAAAGGAATCCATTATTATTATTGATCTCTCTGTAAGGTTTTTATGGTTCTGTCTTTGTTTGGAAAGCAGAACAGCTTATTTGGTTTTCAGAGGCCCATGGAAATAACAAATCTGTGATCTTATTTGTCTCCAGGTTGGTTTCATTGACTATATCGTCCATCCATTGTGGGAGACCTGGGCAGATCTAGTACAGCCTGATGCTCAAGACATTCTGGACACATTAGAAGACAACAGGAACTGGTACCAAAGCATGATACCCCAGAGCCCCTCTCCTCCACTGGATGAGAGGAACAGAGACTGCCAGGGTCTGATGGAGAAGTTTCAATTTGAACTGACCCTTGAAGAAGAGGATTCTGAAGGACCTGAAAAGGAGGGAGAGGGCCACAACTATTTCAGCAGCACAAAGACACTTTGTGTGATTGATCCAGAAAATAGGGATTCACTAGGAGAGACTGATGTAGACATTGCAACAGAAGACAAAACCCCAATCGACACATAATCTCCTTCTCCCTGTGGAGATGTACTTTCCACCCTTGACAAGCATGCCAGCTATGCGGTAGGGCCAGCCTGCAATGACGGCTGAGGCCTGCATAGGACAAAGGCCATCTGGCCTTTCCAGTTACTTGAGTTTGGAGCCAGAATGCAAGGCCATGAAGCAAATAGCAGCTCAGGAAATGCCATGGTTGACTTGCCTTGCTTGCAAGCTTGGCAAAGAGCTGAAGCTTTATGTAGTAGTGGCGGCCAGTTCCCATCACAACTAAATGGCTTGAAAAATTGAAGACACAAAACTGAGAGATTTCTCTGCACTAAGTCTTGGGAACTTGTCCTGACTAGTGACTGAACTCACTAATAACTTCACTTATAAATCTGCTCACCTGTCTTCTTGTCTGCCAACCTGTGTGCCTTTTTTGTAGAACATTTTCATGTCTTTGAAATGCCTGTTGAATACCTAGAGTTTAGTACCAACTTCTATGTGGATAAGTACTTAAAATTGACATAAATTTTTTGACTCTTTCTGGGGGAAAAAAAGGAAAGAAAAGTCTTCCTTCTTTCTTGGGCAATATCTTTTGCTTTCCTACAGTTAACTTTTGCAAACACATAGAAAGGACACATTGCTAACCATATTCTACTTCCATCTTGGAGTCTAACTCTACCAAGGCCCTTGTAACTTAGATCTGTTTGCCTGCTTTGAACAGTACTTTTTTTCTCTGAAGTTTTGCTGTTTTGCTGTAAGCAAAATAAAGTTGAACAAATCAGGGGGTAGGAAGGGGCAGTTATATGGTTCGCTATTACCAGTCTGTGTAGGTCAGCTGAATAGAACAATGCGCCCCCTTGTGTCTTAGCCCCCTGTTAGTTGAACAGCCCTTTGCCCTGTTCTCGTTTGTAGCTTTTTTTTTCCAGGGCTGAGGACTGAACCCAGGGCCTGCGTGCACCGGGTGGGCGCCCTTCCGCTGGGCTAAATCCCCAGCCCCTTGCCCTGTTCTCTCTCACCTCCCATGACTCAACCCTGCCACTTGATGCTGCTGTCATTCTCTTGCATTGCCTTCTGCACTAGCACCTCCCCCTGGTTCCTGTTTATAACCATGTATTTATTATATAATGTAAATACTGTAATGTTTTGTAAGTTATTAATTTATATATCTAACATTGCCTGCCAATGGTGGTGTTAAATTTGTGTAGAAAACTCTGCCTAAGAGTTGCAACCTTTTTCTTGTAACATTTGTATGGTGTATTATATAACCCCAACAACACATAAGAGAGACATCTGGCCCCCTCCATAGTCAGGACAGGGAGGGGCATTAATTCCATGGATCTGCCCTCACCTTGTCTGACTTGCTAATTCTGCACAAGCCCTTTGTGAACCAGTTTTGCAAACAGGATTCTCACATTAGATACTAAGTGGTTTATACTGAGCTTTTACTTTTGTATTGTTTGATAGGGGTAGAGGGCAATGGACTATAGTTTTTAACCCATGTTCTATCCAAATCTGTATACACATGAATTGGGTTATACCTGGGTTCAGCTATCATTGTGGCTTCGGTTCAAAAAGCAACACTACATTTGCTCACAAGAGATTCTTCTGAGTGTTCCCAAACTACTGACTTTGAAGAGCTAGCCTCCTGCCTGCTCCTGATGCGGGAATGTCACCTTCAGATTCATTATGAGAGAAAACAATAAAACAATGTGAATTTTGATAATAAAATGTGAACTGGTGTAGTAAATTATGCAAATGTGAAGCTTCTTCTGATAACACTTGTTAGACCTCTTCCTTGTGTCAGTTTCAGTTTGTAAAATGTGTTTCATGCTTCAGTTCAGCATTGTGACTCAAGTTTCAGAAAATGGCACAGATGTGCATGACCAATGGGTTTGTATGTCTATTAACACCGTTGTTTCTGGTTGACAGTATATTGTTTTCAAAAGTTTCTCACAGTGTATGTTATAATATTAGAATTATATACATATATATATATTGTGCAAAAATGCATTCTTAAAAGACTTTTATATGAGCTGAATAAACAAAAGCATGATTAGCTTAGACTCTAGACCCAATTATTTGGCAGTTAGTTCTGATGTACTAACAAATCATTTTCCCTTTTCTCTCTCTTCTTTCCTACCATAACCTATTAAAAAGAAAAGGTAACCACTTTGTTCAGCCAGCATCATAAGTGAATTTTCATAATCTATGTCTAACAGTTCAGTTACTTGGACATTTTCACATTTTTCTTAGCCATCCACCCAGCTCAGGGAAGAGGTGGTGAAGGACAGCAAACAAAACTGTTTGTTCCTCTTGAGCCATTTCCTTCTATAAGAACCTTTAGAGTTTCAGATCTACTATGCAACTAAAGGGCATCTTCATTTTGTCTGGGTCCTTGGAGAGAGTGAATCATAGACTCATATCACCTAGCATAATGCATTCAGAGCAATCCCTGATTCATTTGACACACTGGGATCCAAAGAGTCATCTTAAACCACAATCCACAGAGCACTGATAGATGCTCATGGTCTTTCAAATAACTGTAGAGACTTATGCTGATTGGATAGTTATGCTTTCCTTTCTGGAAAGAACCAACTTTATGTCATAAGTAAAATGTTTCATTGGAAGAAATCCTAAACTCAGCATTTAAAATAACTTATCCTGAGGGTGTGTGTGTATGTATGTGTATGTGAGTGAGTGTGTAAGTGTGTATGTTGGGAAAGTTTGCAAGTAAGAATCAGTAGTGACTCTTACTAATTTAACTGCAGAAAAGTGGTCTAATAAGCCAGTAAGAGACTCCTCTGCCAGGAAAAGCCGCTCTGAATAATCTGAAATTATTCTGCTTCTCTTTGGTGAGGATGTACCAACATTATAGAAACATTTTCTGCTAGATGTAGAATCAGCGTTTCTGGAACCCTCTACCATCTCTGAATAGTAACATAATTTATTATAACCAGTAAGTACAATTTATCATGTCTACAGCTATAAAGCTTTATAAATATTTGTTTTCTACTAAGAAGTTCTTAATTCTGTTGTGAATTAGACTATATTTGTATATATTCTTACTTATATACATAAATATTCATATCTACTTAAATACTGATGTTTGGACACTTCTCTTCCTAGATTTCTGATTGAAGTGGTCTTGGTTGGAGGCCTAGGCATCAGACTTTTAGAATTTCCCCCAGGAAATGTTAATGTTTCATTAGAATAGACAAGCACTGCTTCACAACCAAAACTATGCTTGCCTGGAGTTAGAACTTTCTTTCGTAGAACCATCTCCAGATATTTATTGTTCATGCACCATGCCCAGTCTAGCATGCTCAGAATATCTATTTTCAACAGTAATTTTCGCTGTGACCTGCTTTGATTTTCCAAATGACTTCGCACCTAATTCCAAGTAAAAAGAGACTTCATAGTTATATTCATTTCCTAAATGAGCTCAGGATTCCAAGCTAATGATAACCTCTGAGAGCAGGTACCATGTTGAGCAAAGTCTCCTTTCATCCTATACTCTTAACATCACAGTAGAGTTAATGCTCAGACATTTGTTGACTAGATGTAGATGTTGACAACAGTAAAACCCTAGTTAATAGGAAGATAAGAATGCTGTATAATGCAGGCAATTGCCCTCTTAAGCTTCTCTCATTTCATTGCAACAGTCTTTTATTATTTTTATTTTTACTTATTTTTAATTTTTTATTGTTATTATAAAGGAGATATACAGAGGATTACAGTTATATAAGTCAGGTAATGAGTAATTTGGGACAATATTACCCCTTCCCTTGTTGTCTCCCAGATTTTCCCTCCTGACCCCACCCACAAGTAATAGCCTGTGGTAATACCTGTCTCTACTTCAACTCCCAACCCCTGCAATATAAGATAGAGTTTCTGCTTGGTCTCTTTTTAAATCTTACTACTCCTTTTAAATGTTTTTATATTTTAGTCCTCCTCTTCATAAAACGTGATACTGGGCCCTAAGCAAAAAGAGTGAGTTTTGATATTTAGCTAAGTAATGTCTCAAGAAACAAAGATTGCTTTTATTAAAATTCTTTGTGAAATACATCCTCTACTTGTATTTTGAAGTGGGAAAGAGTAGAGGACACACATGTGTTCCAGGCTTTTATCTGAACCCTCCTTAGCCTCAGAATGTTAGTAAATCATTCATATTTGAGCATAAATTTTCTTATTATTAAATGAATCCAATGATAGACATCTAGAGATAGAATCAGATCCATATAATAGATCATCAATAAATATTGTCTGAATGAATTATCCTGGATGGAGGGATTAATGAATTGTAAAATAGCTTTGAAAAAATTCCTTCTGACCTCAAATAAAATAGTTTACAACACATTTTGATTAACTTGTGATTTATAAAACCAAGTCCCAATTAATAGAGGCATTTTTTCTAGATGTATTTGAAGATTCTGAAAAGATGAGTGTTCTCACTCCATCCTAACAATAATGGTACCATACTGATTCAAAGAAGTCCATAAAGTTGAGGAGAAATGTGTGAATTGTGAGTCGTATTATCAAATCTCTTCCAATTCTATAGACTCTTTCTAAAAGTACGTCTAAACGAAAGCATGCAGCAGTAAAAACTCAGCAATATCCATTTAAAATAATGTAAACTATTAGGATATTTTATTTTATTATTTGCAGTGAAATCAAATGGTATTCCTTTAGAGTACCTTCTCTGGTTTTATCTTTTCTATTGATACCCAAACAATATACATAATTTCTCTTCTAATTTCTTATTCCAATTGAAAATAGCCAGACTTTTAGTTTTGGCTTCTTGTAGCATCAGTTTTCTTATCTGCAAAACAGAGAAAACAATCATTTAGTGTCCTAAATTGACTATAAGAATGAAATGATAAAATAGTGTCTCCCCCATAGTATGCACTAAAAAGGTTAATTTTATGTAACTAGAGATAACATGTTTTCTACATTGTAGTTTCTTCAACATCTTTTATTTGACCTGTACTCTGCATTCTGGTCAAATTATCCTGGGCTTGCTCACCTGGACAAGGATCTGAGTTAAGATCAATGTTCCAACACCCAGTCCCATATTGCATTAATGGTAGGGCAAAGTGTGACTCTTGTCTTTCTTTCTTCTAGGTACTCTTCCATAGCCTAAGTCTGTATTCATTTGGGGTGTCAGTGACTCACCCACATGATTCACAAGGTACTCTCAGACAAACAAAACCTTCCACATCTTTTGCCATGAAGCGCTTGCTGCATTATTTGCTTGTACAGTTGAATTTCTGAACAGTCCTGTAATTTTTTTTACTTTACTGATGGATTTCATTTGGGAAGCCAGTAGGGTATAGGGAACAGGGTTTTCATTTGGGGTGTCAGGTTGAGCTATAAATATAAATACATAATATATAAATATATAATATATAAATATACTATAAATAACAGCTCCAGTACCACTGTTGAGACCTCAAGGAAGGTTCTTAACATGTTTGACCCTCAGGTTTCATTTCTGTAAAAGGGAGAAATGAAATCTACATCAAAAGAATTAGCTAAGGGCTTATGGCTCATACCTCTATTCCTAGCTACTCACAAAGTTGAGATCTGGAGGATCACAGTCTGAAGCCAACCTAGGAAGAAAAGTTAGCAAGATTCCATCTCAAAAACAACCAGCAAAGACCAAGCTGGAAGAATTACTCAAGTAAGTAGAGCACCATGTGAATGAACAAGCTAAGAGAGCATGATGTCCTGAGTGGTAGTCCTGGTACCACCCAATGTCCCTGTGTGTGTGCATGTACGTGTGTGTGTGTGTGTGTGTGTGTGTGTGTGTGTGTGTGTATGTGTGTGTGTGTGTGGCTAAATGATACCACATATGCAAAGGTTTTTGGCACATTACAGGCATACAATAAATGATACTTATTGTAACATTAATATCCTACTATGATATTTAAATGAGGTAATATGTGCATGGAGAAGTCATACTACTAATTGCTATTTTTTTGGCCTGAAATTATTTTGTATTCTGATTCTGACCATTTATTAACTATGCCCTCACCAGTATGTGCTCTATATCTTTGATAATAATGTATTTTATATGTTCATTTACCTTGTCAATAAAAACAATAGGACAGGATGAGAAATGGAAGTGTGTTGTTGCCTGTATCTTGCAGATCAACATTGACCCATAAGTTAGTGTTCCATGGGCAATGGTGGTGTGTCAACAATAAATTCACCAAGACATGCCATCATTTAGGCCAACTAGGCAAAAAATCATGTCAGGAAAAAAATGTAGTCAAGTTTGGCTTTCTTTCCCTGAAAGACAATTATACTATGTCTAAAGCAATTTTCTCCTTAGTATCTGAGTCCTAACTGAGAAGAGAGCCTATTATAGCACTAGTAACCATCATAATTCTCTTATGTTTAGATGACTCTTCCTCCTAGAACTTCTCTCCCAAATGGACTATATGCCCTATGTTAATCATCTGTTCCAGATTTTTATCATGCAATTGATGTTATGCTTGACAATCTGTACTTCATAGAAAAAAATCTAATTACGTTATAAGCACTGCTACTACAGTAGATATACACATGCAGAACACAAAAGTAGCAGAACCTAAGTCCTCCTTTGGGGGAAGAACCTCAGGGAGCCTTTCTCATAGCATAAGTAAGGAGAAGTCTAAAGAGCAAATAGATTAGGAAGGAAATGACATGGAAGCCTAAATGACAGAAGGAAGAAAGCACGTGTGATAAAAGTAGAAAACGTGAATTAATATTTTTAAATTGTATATGTTTAAGACAAAAATCTCACTGTATAACCCAGGCTGAGTTGGAATTTGTAATTCACCTTCCCTAGCTTCCCAAACTCTGGGATTACAGCTAGATGAAGAGTGATTACTCAAAATTTTGAGACCCTTCTATAAAATTATTTATTTAAAATATTTACTGGACATGTAATATGCGTGTAGGACTCTACTGAACTTTGGAGATACAGACACACAAGAAGAACAAAACTCTACTGTTATTTTAAAAAGATCAAGTCATGCCACTGATGGTGGCTCATTCCTGTAATCCTAGCTGAGATCTG